CCCTATGTCCCCGAGGTATTCACCCAAAACCTGTCATCTGTCCTAGGGGTATACATCCAGCGCCGCCACATGTCCCTGGGATACTCTTCCTAAACCCCCAGTTGACCCCGGGGGCTTCACCCTAGATTAAGGGAATCCCGTCGTAATCGCCTGAAAACCTACATCCTCCTCGGGACACTCATCGTGTCCACCACAGAGGATACTGGAAATAAGAGAAACAGAAGAAAGGAAGGAGAGGACTTACTGGATACAGTAGCCTTGACGGAAGTACGACGAATTTCGCGACGGATGGTACGGTGGTTGCGCTGCGCGACAACGTGAAGACGGAAGAGCAAGAAAAGTGTGTACGAGAGCGTTGAGAGCAAAAAGTGACAAAGGGGCAGGCACCAGCCTATTTATAAACATAGCACAGAACTCGAAATTCCCATAAGCACTCAAGTGCCTCTAGGGTAGCCGCCTTAGGATGGGCAATAGGTAACGGACACGTGGTCACCACGAACGACTGTATCCCTTTGTTCTCCCTCGAGCTCGGGGAAACTGGCGCTCGGTCATCTTTCGCCTCCCCGACATGATATTCCGACGAGCACAACTCTCGTCCCCATCTGTCCTCGACATGGTTTGTTCTTAAGTCATCACTCCTCCGCAGAGGAACAACGACTTAGGGGGCTCCTATTTTGGACTGAGCCGGGACCTACCCATCAGTCGGGCAGGCCCAACCTAACACTATGTTGGGAAGGCCCAATAGGGCCCAATCCTCCCTCGTCATACACGAGTTATATACGTCGGGCAGACAACTCCCTTGACGGGCAGATCCACACGCTTTCTCCATGTTCTCCACATGCTCCCTCATGCGGGGACACGTCATCAGACAACTACCCACCTCCGAAAGAGTTGGTCAGCCCACCTCCCGAAGATCACGAGGCAGTTGATCTAGGGAGAAGACCACATGCTATTCTTCACTACGCCATGTAAGCCCTAGCAGTTATTTGGGTTGGGCTTGGCAGTCTGACCCAATCCAAGTAATCGTTAGCTCTACGTTGAGGTCTCTCTATAAATACCCTTTTTCACTAGAGGTTCGGGTAGTCCATTCTATACCTACTTCTGTATTTGCTCTCCCACTTTGATCTTTTACTTACTTAAGTATCGGAGTGCCTTGCAGGTACACCCCCTCCTTCTCCATACCTCTGGTGGAAGTTACCAATCGACGACGCGTGACAGACTAGTGATCCCTTCTGATCAGGTATGATCATTAACCTAAACACTTGAGTGGTTGAGAGTACTTTGTTAGTATCCTTTGAGGATTTTATCACTTTTAATGCACTCTTAGTTGATTTCCTCTCTTATTCTCTTTGAACTTCATTTAATATCACCCAATATTGTCATGCTCCTTAAATTTTATGATTTGTGCTTGTTATAATTATGATTTTGAATAATTGTCATATATAATACTAGTCTCTTATATTATTTATAAATATTGGATCTTAATTGGGCTTTAGTTATTTCAATAGATTATTATCGAATTTAACCTCATATTTACCTTATTTTACTTGGTAGGTCATATCTCAGACTCTAATTTTTGTATTAAAGCTTTCAAATTTTCGTTGGAAAAGTAAAAAAGAAAACCTACAAGTGTGATGTTGAACTTAAAGACCAGTTCAGACTCAATGACGGTCAAAACCACATTAAATTACATAAAGCAATTATCCTATAATGATCCATAATGCATGCCTCGTGAAATTTAAAAATCATCACCATAAGTATTTTGATATAAGTGTGGGTTAGAAATCTCACGTTACTTAAAAAAATAAAGGTTTAGCACTTTTATAAGTTACATGATCCATATACCTAATGCCTTAAGATTTTGAAGGGAGATATGGTGTCACTCTCACTTGTATGATTACTCTTTGACCTAATGTGGTTGCTCCCCTCACAAGTCATTAGTGTTATCAAACTCTATGGCTCAACTAAGAGGTTGACTCCTTGTATCAAAAATCTTCTTAACAAGGTGGTGGTCAGATAGCGTGTTGTTTTGAAATGTTTGTGACATGGTAAGAGTGCCAATAGCGGTACAAGTGTTATTGGGAGAGAATATAAGAATTAAATAGTCTAAAAAGGGGTTTTAATATACCAATCCCCTTAAAAAAAATTCAAAAACTTTTTCTTACATAAAATTAGAGCTTAATAAACAGAAACATAAGTGGTTTGCATAAGCAAAATATAGTGAATGATTTGAAGGATTATATGTTTCAATTTCAATCTAATATACATACTTCAATCAATATTCAACATAACCGACGTGAAATAAGTTGCTTTGTCAAACTACAAATATTCAAAATCTTCAATGATCTTTATTCAACAATCTTGCTAGACACAATAATCGTGCTCCAACCCTCCATTCTACATCAACCTTTACTCGACTCAATCGATTCCTTACCTAAACAATTATTCTACACACAAATGATTGGACAACTCCCAATTTTGTTCTGTGACAATCCCCAACTTTGTTCTGTGACAACCTTTACTCAGTCACATGAAAGTCTTCGATTGAGTGAAGAGAACTCTTCTCTTATTGGATAATCACCACCATATGCCATAGAGAAAAATGATTCTTTTTCCAGATAAATATGCAACAAAACTTCACCAAAAAAACATTAGCTTCCCTAATGTACATTGGATCTACCTCTTACACTCAATCTTTAGAGTTGAGCACCACAAAATGGTTTCTTAGTACAAAGATGAAGATGATGAAGAATATCTAAAGAAGCTCACACAATACAGCTAATATCTCACAATATCAACATTCTAGGAATTTTTTCACAAGGTTAAATTAAGGAGAAAGTACGTTTGTGAATATAATGACTCTCATAACCTTTCTCAAGCTTTTTCAAAAGTATGGGTATGAATCTCACTAGATCTTGCTCTGGAAAAATCTCATTGTGAGACTTCTCTTTCTTGAAACATCATTGAGTCAATTAACAAAGTTAACCCACTAGCTCCCTAGCTAATGAATAATGGCCAAATGACTTACTCATTAATTGATCAACCTTAAAAAAAATACCAAAAAGGTTTAAACAGGTGATAAAGGTTAAACACAAAAAGGTGAAGAAAAGACAAAATGACTCGAGTCAAATTACGAGGTTATGATTTGAATAAAAGAAAGAAATGTTTTGAATCAAGGTAGTAAAATGACGAATTTGACACTTTGATTTGAATCAAGATTTATTTATAAGATTCGAGTCAAGCTAAGGCATGATTTAAATCATAATTATATTTTAAAAGATTATTGATTGTCATGATTCGAAGCAAAGCTTCTTGTAATTCGTATCAAAGGGTGTTGTAATTCAAATCACACACATCCCTGATTTGGATTAGGTTGACAAATTTAAATTCTAAATTTCAGCTAGATGGTTGATTCGAATCATAGAATGTCTGATTCGAATCAAACTTCACAAAAACCTTGATTTAATTTTTCTAACTTATGGTTCAAGCTATATTCAACACTTTGACTTGGACCAAATTGCCTAGGCTAAAAAATACTGTCATGAGCTTAAAACTAATTTATTGAATGTAAGGGTAAATTAAAGGGTACACGCCTAATCAAATAATTAGATAAACATAATTGCACACAAATTACAAATAACGAGAAATTAAATTACACATAGATCAAATTTAAATAGAACATCCAAATAAAAAATAATATCGATTACAATTTCAAATATATATATATATATATATATATATATATATATATATATATATATATATATATATATATATATATATATATATATATATATATATATATATATATATATATATATATATATATATATATATATATATATATATATATATATATATATATATATATATATATATATATATATATATATATATATATATATATATATATATATATATATATATATATATATATATATATATATATATATATATATATATATATATATATATATATATATATATATATATATATATATATATATATATATATATATATATATATATATATATATATATATATATATATATATGAATAAAAAAACATCTGCTTAATAAAAGTACATATTTGGAGATTCAAAATATCATTCCATATTAGACATGAAACAATTATATAAATAAGTTGAGCACCCTATCTTGACTCTTAACTCAAAATCTTACTAAAAAACTTATGACATTTAATTTATAAACCTATTTTATTAATGTATTGTATAATATCCACTTTTTAAACTAAAAGATTCTTACTCTACTCTCACTTGAAATATTTGAGAAGAGATGATAAAAATAAAAGAGATAAAAAAAGAGAGGAGAGAGAGTAATATTAAAATATAAAAAAGTATAAAGGATACATCATAAAATCAATCTACTTAATCCAATGGTTCTAACACATTTATCCATCATAAAATCAATCTACTTAATCCAATGGTTCTAACACATTTATCCATCATAAAATCAATCTACTTAATCCAATGGTTCTAACACATTTATCCATCATAGACCAATAGTCCATTCTATAAGCAACCATAAATCATAGCTGAAGGACTACCACACCAAAGTCAAGCATCAAATTTCCTTACTTACAAGTCATATTACTATTACTATTTATACTAAAATCTCATTAACTAAATCATTAACTTTTACTATTTGAGTTTAGCTTATTAATTCCATATAAAAAAGCAAAACTTATTACTACTAGTAGTAATTTTATCTCTCATCAATCCCTTCACAACCCCATCATTTTCTCCTTTTTCTTTTTCATTTTTTCTCCTAACTCGTTTACTTGACCCCATCCTTTGAATATATCTATAAAAAGCCCCTACCCTTCTCTATCTTCTTTGTAATAAGCCAAAAACCTCTTTCTCTTTCTCTTTCTCTTTCTCTTAACCTCTCTCTCTCCCTCAAACTAAAACCATACCAAATCCACACAAACCTATACCTATAGCTTCTCCAAACTAGTGTAATCAACTTCAATATTTTTCATGGAAGTGAAAGCAAGTGTAACTAGCAACTCAAACATCACCACCATGCTCCAAAGTGATGATGATGAGATGGATCTTCGAAGAGGTCCATGGACTGTTGATGAAGATCTTGCTCTCATCAATTACATTGCAACTCATGGTGAAGGTCGTTGGAATACCCTTGCTCGTTCTGCTGGTAATTTTTTCATTCTTTTTTCTTCTATACCTTTAATTTTAAATATTAAATAAAAACCATATACTCCTATACTATATTATATTCTAATTAATTTCTATAATTATGGTGTGAAAGCTTCTTCACTTCTTGTCTAGTTTCATATCACACCAATCAATTTTTTTATAAAGCCAAAGTTTGCGGTTTTTCTAATGAAGAGCACCATATGATAGTGATTATGTTAGCAAGGACTTTAATTTAAGCATATACTTGTGTGTGTGGTGGGGCAAAAAATTTTAATATTGAAAATGAAATATATAACTATAGGTGGCCCAGAAATAATTGCTAGGCTGCATCAGGTTTATGAAAATGGAAAAAGAATAATGAATTGATACTATAACGCAATACCATACATATTTTCCATATTAAACAAAGTACAAAATATTTGATCTTTATTTTTACCTTATTTGTTTTAGTTTGCATTCTCAAAAACTTTACCAATTGGAGAAATTTTGTTTTTGGTTTTAGGACTCAAACGAACGGGTAAGAGCTGTAGATTGAGATGGTTGAATTATCTTCGGCCGGATGTTCGTCGTGGTAACATCACACTCGAAGAACAACTTTTGATTCTCGAGCTTCATAGTCGTTGGGGAAATCGGTAAGTAATATATATGAATATTTGTATTAATATTAATATATACTATTTTGTCATTAAAAAAAATTAACTTCTAATATATATATTAAAGTATTGTTGATAATTTATTAATTTTTATTTAATTTATCTCATAATTTTTTTTATTGATGAATTTAGCTGGTCGAAAATTGCTCAATATTTGCCTGGAAGAACGGATAATGAGATCAAGAATTATTGGAGGACTCGTGTTCAGAAACATGCGAAACAACTTAAATGTGACGTCAATAGCAAGCAATTCAAAGATGCCATGCGCTACCTTTGGATGCCGAGACTAGTGGAACGAATCCAAGCCGCTGCATCCACATCCGTCGCGCAAACCACCAACACTAATAATGACTCTTCAAATGCTACATCAATGGTCGCTCCGAACAATACGACATACGATCTTAATGACAATTTTATTTATAACGCGAACGCGAACATGATGTTAGCTCCAACGATCATGAACACCAACAATTTATGCAGTTCGCACGTAACACAAAGTTTCACACCGGAAAATAGCAGTAATGGCACAACGGCCGCATCATCGGATTCATTTGGGACACAAGTTTCGCCTATCTCGGATTTAACTCAAGATTATTACAATGTCCCGGTTGGTGGTAACAACAATATGAACCCTAATTCTGATTATTACCAACAAGCTCAACAATTTGGATTTTCAGATTGCATCACTAGTCCATCAGGTTTGTTCCCTCAAATGGATTTCAATAATTCCATGGAACCAAACACACCTTGGATTCAAGGGGACAATTTCTGGAACGTTGATAACATGTTGCTCTTTCAACAACTCAATGAGAACATGTGAAAATAATGAAAGGAAAAAAAAGTGTTATTAATTACTATGAAATATATTTTACAGATCATGATAAAGTAATAGAAGTAGAAAAATGAGGAAATAGAATAAATTCATATGTAGGACACACATGTAGATTTAAAATCAAGGAATATAAGAACAAAAACGAAAAATGTAAATTAATTACGTGTTATAAGTTTGTAGATTTTTTTATTTTTTTCCTTTTTGTTCTTTAGTTTTCCTTATTTTAATTAGAGGAGTGTGGAAAATATTTGTAATTTAAGCTTTCTTTATGTAAGATTTCATTCTTTGAGATTATTAAACTCTATTCTATTTAATTTTCTATTATATTTTGATTCTTATCTTAATCCTTTATCTAGAAACTATATATATTTACATTTTTTTTTTAAATTAAATATTTGTTCGTCTGTATTTGTATAGATTAATCTTTTAAGTTAGATAAAATTATAATAAATAACAAAAAAAATTGTAAACAATTTAACACAGTTTTACAGGTCTAAAACTGAATTCGATCATCCAACATATTAAATAAAATAAAATAATACTGTAATGTATAAATGAGTGTGTAAAATTGATTCCACACAATATATCCTAATTGTTCTTTATTAGAAATAATTTATAATTTTGATCCACTTTTGAAACGTTGTTCTCCATGGGAGCTGAACCTACCCACAAAGTGTTTCTAGATTGTTAAAAAGAGATGAAAAAGCAAATGTAATATTTAAAGACTTGGTGTGTTGAATTATTGGTTTTGTATGAGAGACAAAAAACATTTAAAACTTCCAAAAAATAAGTGTCTATTATTAACAAGAATTAATGATTAAAAAAAGCTTAATCTGCCACCTAAGTACGATTCAAAGGACCCTACCCTAATTTTCTCACCCTTAATTTGTTGGTATTCGTACGAACAAAGATGGAGTGAGATAGAAAATGACCAACTTTGAAGTTTAAGTCCAATCCATTTCATACTAAGATACCATAAAGGGTAATACGGTAATTTGAAGTGCGCACGTGCAAGATGGGTTACGAAAAACGTGAGAGAATAGTTGAGTTGGAAAAAGAAAGAAGAAAAGAAAAAATAGATGGTTGTGGCGGCGGGGAATCTTTGTAGGGCGCGTGCCTCTAGGAGAACCCATATAAGTGGTCCCAATCACTCATGTGTTTAGAAGCTGACACGTGTCATTTAGAAAAACTCCTTTATTTTTATTTTTCACAAAAAATATATATTCTAAGGTTTTTGATTTGTTTTATCATATAAAATATAAGTCACTGTATAATTGATGTAAAGTTTTAAATATTTATTTACTAATATATTTCTTTTTTCTATCTGAATATTCAGTGTTGTATAAATATCAACTACTTCCTCTATCTTTTAAAGAATATTTTATTTGAATTATAAGCAATTTAAAGAATATTGTTCATAATGATAAATAATCATTTATTAAAACATTTTTATGAATTGTAATTAATGAAAAGAAAGTCAACAAATACTTCCGTGTCATATAAAATGTTTCATTTACATTTCTTTTAATTTTAAAATAAATGTCTCAAAATGAAATAAATACTTTAAAATTAAAATTAAAATATAAATAAAACATTTATTAAAGGTGTTGAAGTAATTATTTTTTCTTAAGGACAAATATATTAAACACAATATAAATTATCTTAATTTCCGTTATGTATTGAAGAGTTATATATTTAATTTTAAAATAAATAAAATCATAGTGATATAAATAAGCGTTGCCTTAATGAAAGAATTTTTCTTTTAAATAATCTTACGTGTTAAACGAAAATATCACTTATGCAAAAATGAAAGAATAAAAAAAATTTAAAATTGATTAAATATATGATCGAAATGTTAAATTTTAAAATAGAGTGATTAAAATATTTAAAAAGTTAAAATAACAAAATTAAATATAAAGCCTTTGTGATTTAATTAAAAATAAAATGTATAAACATTTTATTATTTTTAAAAACATAAAGTAATGTTATATTATAATAAGTAGATGACTCTGTAGGGTAAAATACATTACTATAAAATTATGAGCTTTTAATTTAATATTTATAAAAGTGAATATATTTTTAACAATGTTGTATGTGTATTTATAAAAAGTATAATAATGAAAGACATTTTGTTTACACAGACAATGCGAAAAATTATGTGCATTTTTGTCTTGTGAAATTTGTGAATCTCCCTTTATAGGTTTTGAGGTAGAGATATTTATAAGAATTTTCATTAATCAGATTCAGCCTAATAATCAATTATTTCCCTTTTGAGGGGAAAACATGGCATTATGTCGGAGTAATTTCTTCTTTTTTTTAGAAAGTGGTTTCTTCTATATGAGCTTGTAAAGACCATAAGTTTATTCTCATATTTCTCAAACACTTACAAGTTAGTATGTTTGGGTTGCGAGGCTACACCCGCTTCTGACGACTAGGGTTGTTTCTGACGCTCTTTAATATTATTGCATTTGTTTTGGATTTCTTTATCATTAATGGTTTCCTTTTAGACTCAATAAAATTATTTCACTCCACGGTCTCTCAAGCATGAGATTATGAAAAGAGTGAAGTAATTTAATCTAGAAAAAAAAAGGTTATTTTAAGGCGATATCGACTTAGAGGGTCAAATCCCTTAAGCGTTTCTTATGGCGAATTTAAGAAGACGAGGAATCAACCTCACCCTGAACTTAGACCTTTGATATTTTTGGTTTTCTTTTAAACAATTATGTTACTGTCCTTTGTAGATCCTTTTTGTAACCACGTCCATGAAAACGTTTAGACTTTTATGGCAATTCATTTTATGATATCTTAATTTCATTGTAGTTTGTCAATTAATTTCAAAGTTTATATTTTCTTGGCTACACGAACTTTATTATTTGAGGTGAGTCCCTTAAGCGATGCTTAGGACAATTCCCTTAAGTGTTGAGTAAAGTTCCACTTGGTGAGGGTCCTTTAGTGGCATTCTTGTGGCGATATGCTTCATAGGGTTCCAAGGATCCGTCAATGAAGGTACAACATCAATGTTCCTTGTAGGGTGGCCAAATCCTTCAATGAAGGTACAACATCAATATGCCTCGTAGGGCGAAAATGATTTTTCGCTGAAGGTCAAACGTATAATTTCCTTATAGGCGATAAGGATCCTTCAATGAAGGTCAAACATATAATTCCCTTATCAGAAGCAAGAATCCTACATTGAAGGTCAAACATACAATTTTCTTATAGGAGGCAAGATCCTTCATTGAAGAACCATCATACACTTTCTTTATAGATGACAAGGATTCTTCATTGAAGGTCCAACATACAATGGCCTTATAGGTGGCAAGGACCCTTCATTAAAGGCCCAACATACAATTGACGATAACATTAGGTAGTTAAGAAAACATGGTGTCTCATTAAAAACCTCTCCTTTATAGGGAAAAATAATGGGACCCTACCTTTGATACTAAAACCTAAATCTTTGAGAGGATTCATACATTGGCAAACTAAGGCTTTTGCCTTACTCAACAGGAAACATTAAATAATTAAATATAATAGTATCTTAGATTAAATGAGTTCTAGGGTCTAGGGATATGTCTTCTCTCTAGTTCCTCAAGGTTGTAGGCGTTGTGCGGTAGCTTTTGGTATATTTGATATGAACCTTCCGAAGTAGGTGGAAAATTTCCCAACAGAGTAGGTGCGACCACTTGTCTAAGTACGAGATCTCCTTTTCTCATTTCCATTGGAACCACCTTCAAATTATATCTTCTTCTGATCCTCTGTTTGGCAGAGAATTCCTTGATATGAGCGATTTATATGGTTTTGTCGACCAGGTCAGGTATGCACCTATGTTTTGTCTCATTTTCTTCTTCATTAAACTGTGCAGGCCTCTAAGTGGGTGTGTCAATTTCAACTGGAAGCATGACGTCACTGCCTTAGACCATTATAAATGGTGTTTTCTTGATGGTGGAATGTATGTGTGTGTAGAGGGGGTGTAGTGTGATATGACCATAAAACCTCGTGAAGTTGTTCGAACCATAAGCCTTTGGAATCGTCCAAAATTTTCTTTATCTTACTTAGTATCACCTTATTTGTTGACTCAACTTGTTCGTTGGCTTGCGGATGCACAAATGAGATGAACATTGTCGGTATTCTCAATTGAAGGAAAAAATCAATCAAATTAGCAAATTGTGTACCATTTTCTAAGATGATGATTTTTGGTAGGTCAAACTTGCATATAATTTGTTTCCAATAGAAACGGTGAACCCTCACTACTGTTAGTTTGAATACGACATCTTCCTTTATCTACTTCATAAATTTATTTACCTCACAATTAGGAATTTTAGTTTCCTTGGCACCAATGGGAAATGGCCCAAGATATTTATGCACCAATGGTAAAATGGTTATGCCGATGTGACAAAGTAAAGAATCTATACTAGCATGTGATATAAAATGGAATGTCTCGGGCACTTGTTGTAACACCCGAGGCCGAAGAGAGAGGAGAGTGGTTATATGTAACACCCAAGGGCAAGGGGGTGGTTATCATTGCACGAGGCATGACAATGAGACACTCCTAGCAGCTTGGCAAGGGAGTGATTGTCAGTGCATGAGGCATGACAATGATACACTCCTAGCAGCTTGGCAAGGGAGTGGTTGTCGGTGCACAAGGCATGACAATGAGACATTCCTAGCAGCTTCTAGCAGCTTGGCAAGGGAGTGGTTATCATTGCACGAGGCATGATAATGAGACACTCCTAGCAGCTTCTAGCAGCTTGGAGAGGGAGTGGTTGTCGGTGCACGAGGCATGACAATGAGACACTCCTAGCAGCTTCTAGGGGAAAACCGAATTCACATCGAAATGAGAGGGATCCTGAGGCTCCCAGGTATGAGACTCCATGGTTGAAGGAAGGCTTATAAGGATTAATTGATACTATCTATACCAACAAGATGCATCTTCTTTTTGGGAGCCCGTTCCATAAGAACAGTTTGGGGCGTTACACTTGTCACATTTTTTG